ACAAAACCTGTTGCTAATGGGAGATGCTACAGACAACCACATAAAAATATTTAATAAAAAAAAGAATTTGAATTATTCATCAAAAGGTTTACCGAACTGTATTAAATGTTTAAGTTAGTTTCTATTAAGTTTTTTTTTTTTTGAACGGGTATCCACCTGTTGCCTCCCTCGAAAGAGCGTTTGACGGCGTGACTAATCCTCGGCTGATCTAGAAGAGGCACCCATCTCATAAATCTTCTGGCCCGCATTTGATTGGACCCCACATAAGAGGCGCGGCCGCTCGAGGGGAATCGAGTATGAATTGGGAGGTTTTCAACCATACTTGTCAACCAAGCAAAGCAACGGTGGGTTCTATTAAGTTTCAAATGTAGTTAGCAATATTTTGATTTTTTAGTAATTCTCAAGCTATTTCAGCAGTTGTCTGAGCCTCAAGGGGCATTAGTGGGTTTAAGATGAAAGGATTACCAACACTCCATTTTCACAAGACGCCAAAAACTCCAGCATTATATGATCAACCATTATTAAAACTGGTTAAAGGGTTGCAAAATCACATTTCCAAAAGGAGGAATGTGCCTATCACTTTACATTGAAACGCCAAAGCTCTATATTTTGTTGATGCAGACACACTTGTTAAGGTTTCACCATGCGGCATGTAATGATTTCATGTATTACTAGTATATAATTTTTTGGCATGATTTAAGTACATCTTTACATCTTAAAGCTAAATTTCTATGCATGCTCATAATATAAATAGATATGAAATGCATAGTTTCTCATTCTAAGGTTTCATTTGGGACGGTTTTCTTACTGCTTCTTAGAGCAGTTTTGTAAAATTGTGTGCTAAAAAGTTGCTTTAAGAAGCAGTAAGAAAACCGTCTCAAATGAAACATAAACAAATAATTATTTCATAATCAAGCTGTGAGCAGATTTTATGAGCCAAACAATTGGAAATATATGTACATGTACATTCTTTTGAGAACATAATCTCAATTCAAGAAACATATTAGAAGCTAAACGGAGAATCAATAAAATGGTACATTCAGGTTTTATTTGAGACGACTATCTTATTGTTTCTTGAAACAATTTTTTATTTAAAAAAATTAACTTTTTTATTAGAAAATAGTTTAAGAATCAGTAAGAAAATTGTTCCAAATAAAGCCTCAAATTGCAAGCCTTTTTTGAAATGCATTATTAAATAAAATTGTAAAAAAACAGATGCAGAATATTAACCAACTAGAGATAAAAGACAGGTTTGGTATCTAAATTACATGATGATGGGCAATTTTCAATGATATCAGTAGCAAGTAGGAACTTTCATGGTTATATATAGCATTTGCAACATGATGAAATATCAGAGATCAACATGATAATAACAACAGAGCTAGGGAGTAACAAGTAATCTTATTCAAAACTTCTAAAAATTAACAACCTAATTTGTCCAAACTTCATTTATCTCAATATAAAAGAGGAAGCAACATTCTGTAGTTAGTATTCTAATTTGTCATTTATACAAGCAAATAATTAACAACCCTCTTTACAAAAAGAGATCATATGTATTTGTATTTATAGAAAGACACCATAAAGTTGTTGACTATAACGATTTTTGAAACTATGATATTCTTATATCACGATATTCATAGTAGTAACAAAGATAAAGAACTCTTCAATCATGGCAAATTGCCATAAAAATTTCTTGGTTAATTGGATCCTCAAAAAGCTTTGTGGAGAACAAGTAAAGTAACATATCTTCAAATGCTTATGTTGTTTGATCAAGAACTTTAATGCTAACAGAAAGAAATTGTGTCGTAATTATTGACTGTGAAGCATTAGTTTTTTGAGCCGATGTTTGTGCATGAATTAACAAGTTGGGTAATTTGACTTCGCAGAAATGCATATTTAACTTTTTTTCCTACTAGCAGTTGAAGTTGTAAATATAACAGTCCAAACTCTTAACCATTGAGATACTGTACGCATTGGCCGAAGGGCCTCACAGTTTTATCATGTTGGTGTAACTTTCCAGTGAGTCACCAATCCCAAGATTTTTTCAGGATGAGTACGCTTAACTGCATAGCTTCTTAAATGAAATTCAAATTATTACACCAAAAGGCACCTCTATGTTTAAGAGTTTATCTTTTTTTTTTTTAATTTATTTATAACTTAAGAAGTTTCACAATCTCCCATAAATAAGTAATTGATGTTCTTATTAACATATTTATCTCAAAATCATCCACCAGGTAGATAAGATTCTAGAGGTGGCCCCTATAAGTTCAAGCAGCGACTCCCACCATATAGCACTTCTGTCCCATACAGGGTTCAAGAAGTGGCTCCCATGGCGTAGTACGTTATCTTGTTTGACACTTAGCTCCAATCTTTCGATTGGTGTAATGCTTTGATACCATTTGTAACATCCCAAACTCTTAACTATCGATATATTGTCTGCTTGACCAAAGTGTCTCACAGTTTTGTCCTATTGGTATAACTTCCCAGGAGGTCACCCACACCCATCCCAATATTTCTTCAGGATGAGCGCGCTTAATTGCAGAATTTTTTAAATGAAAATTCAACCGTTACACCAAAAGGCATCTCGATGTTTAATAATTGAACTTCTTTTTTACTTAAGGGGTGAGTTTCACAGTAGAGGATAGTCGTTTCAACTGGATACACTCACTAATGCAATCAAAATTTTGTGAAGAATATTTGAAAGAGTCATTAGCAGTATCAATTTTTTTAGAATCTCCACGAACATTTTTATGGTCAAGCTCTTGGTTGGGAGTCCAAGCATTAACATCAGTAGCAACGACACCCATGAAAATCAAATCAATATTATATTCAAGTTTGAGATTAACATTACAAGATCATTTTTTTTTTTGCATTTGGCACAACCTGCAAAGCAAAATTCATTTATAGAACTGAATGGTATAATATGAAGTTTAAAAGAGCAAAATGTATAAACATGTATGCAATCAATATTTACCTCTAGTTTTTTTTTTTTCCACCATTCATCAGGTGCATCAATGGTCTTTCTCCTAGAATCCCAACCCAATCTAATCGATCTACGCTTTAGATCCTTCTATCGTTTCCAATCCTTTTTTAGCAGGTCCCATTTATTTTTTAGCTACACTTTATCATATTTTCTTCCAATTTTCTCATAAAATTTTTTCATTAAATTCAACCAACCATTTTTATTGAAGTGTGTTGTCGGTCAATTGCCAAGTTAAATCTTTCTTAAACATAAATCACAAAATATCATCTTCACATTGTCCTCCCACTAAACTCAACGAAACTTGTGTAAATGTGAGCACATGGTCTTATAAAAATCTTTGATTATTTCAAGTATATTTGTATCAATTATATGGCTTTATGTTGCATCCTACATAGCATTACAGGTCATGCAAAATCATAATAGTGAATTGTTATTTCATCTTAATATTAATAAAAATTTAGAATTCTAGCCTGTGTTTTAGCCATTTTTTTTATTATGACAAAATAAAAATAAAAATAAATATTTTGTCAATGTGTTTGAAATATCAGTCAACAATTTTTTAGATGGTCCCATTTATTTTTTAGCTACACTTTATCATATTTTCTTCCAATTTTCTCATAAAATTTTTTCATTAAATTCAACCAACCATTTTTATTGAAGTGTGTTGTCGGTCAATTGCCAAGTTAAATCTTTCTTAAACATAAATCACAAAATATCATCTTCACATTGTCCTCCCATGTTGCAGATGCTCCACCATCCTTTAGTTTATCCATTTAATTTCTTAGTTGTTATATTATAAATTTATGGTAAGGTTCGTAATTTTTTTTTTTTTAATTCTACACCTGAAATTACAAGATAATTATTTATAAAGTTGAAGATAGTATATGTAATCTGCAGAGGATATTTTAAATAAAATAGCAGCTACTTCAACCAAAAAAAAAAAAAAAAGTTAAGTTTACAGGCAAGTCATCATTTACTTGTGTAAAACAAACACTTACCCCTAGATATCACAAATTCATGAAACAGAAGTTATCTCTCGAGATTGAGTTACTAAACTTACCATGGAAGAAAATATTCATAGGTTCATTTCAGATGAATAAGTAGATTGCTAAATAGAAGCTCAATTCACGTTAACTAATAATCCACTAGACTAGGGGTGTCAATTTCGGGTCACGGGTCAGGTTCGGGTCGAACCCGAACTGACCCGGGTGCAAAACGGGTCGACCCTAACCCGACCCGGGTAGAGAAATGGGTCGAAAATCCGAACCCGGACCCGACCTGGCGGGTTGCCGGGTTGACCCGACCCGACACGGAACGCCGGCGAGCGGATGCGCGCGTGGCGAGGCGAGGCGGGTCCGAGCGCGGCAGGTGCGAGCGCGGCGGGTGCGAGGAGGGTCTGAGCGCGGCGG